GCACATAGCACAGTGCCTGGCACATAATATGCCCTTAATAAATTCTAGTCGATTGACTGATTGATATACCATAACTGTATTACTCCAGTTCTTTCCAGTGGTCAATTAACAGAGTAACTAGCTTAAAATGTTATCCTTCCAAGGAATATTTACATTGTAATGGAGATCTCTTAGAGAGCAAACAAATCTTCAAGACCTGGCTTTAATGGTGTAATTTAAGGAGCCATCATGTAAATGTGGGATGGAACACCCTACAGAGAGCTCCTTTAAATTTTATAAGGATTATAAGATTTCAGAATTGGAAGGGATCTTGGGCTGCCCAATCCAACCATATCTTAATGAAGATTTCCTTCCATGTGGGCAAATGAATTTAGCTTCCATTTGACAAAATATCATTTCTCAATGCATCCCATTCTGCTTTCATTTCCAGAAAGGTTTTCCTTGAGTCAGAATAATGGCTTCTGTGAAACTTCTCCCTATTTATGGCCTCTGGAGCCAAGCAGAAATAAGTTTAGTTCTTCTATATCACAATACTTTAAGAATTTAAAAAGACTGATATCTCACTCCTTCCCCCCAGCTGCTTCTTCTCTAGACGAAACACCTCCCCCCATTTTGTCCAACATAGGATGGTCTCCAGGCCCTCATTGTTCTAAATGTCCTCCAGTTTGTCAATGTCCTCACAAAAATGTGTCTAGAACTGAATATCTCACTATAGATGTGGTCCTGTTGAGGACGACATTGGGACTAATTTGGGGACCCCAAAATTCAAGGGTAAGCAACGCAGGTCACCTTGAATGAATTTGACCCAAGCCTTCATACAGCCAAAGACAAGATTTATTAAAACAACAGTAGAGGTGGGCAAGATTTTAAAAATTCGCCCTGCTGGCCAGATTTAGGAATCTGAGCCTTTATAATGAGAATGCAACTGGGCCAGACTCTTAAAGAATCTGAGCATTTGTGACACTTGTATTAATAAATGTGCCAGACTCTTAAGGAATCTGAGTGATTTAATGGGGGTAAGATGGACACTTATATACAGAGGTCAAGGAGTGGCCAATAGCTTGGGAGACTGGGAGGTAACAGAGAAGGACTCTGAAGGCTGGTGCCCCAGGCGAATGCCAGGGACCTGGGGCTTGTGGGAAAGTCCAGGACCATCTCCTTTTTGAGGTCCAGATCCCAAACACATGGTCTTTTCCTTTTAGGGGTTCAGATCCCATTCCCATCAGTCCTACCTGAGTAGAATACTATAACATCCCTAATTCTAGATGCCGTGCTTTTCTTAATGAAGAAGGCTAAAATGGCATTGAGTTTTTTTAATTCTTATGTCATACTGTTGACTCACTTTTTAGCTCACATTTGACTAAAATTCTACATCTTTCATATAAACTGTTTTTTTAGTCACCTCCCCCATTCTGTCTTTGTGAAGCTGATTTTTTAACCCATCTGTAGAACTTTACATTTACTCCTATTAAATTACATCTTATTGATTTGGTCATATTTAGTTGTTATCCACTGTATCACAGAATTTGAGAGTTAGAAGGGATCATCTGGTCCAACTCCTAGACAAAAGGAACCCCCCAATATGATGTACCCAACAAGTGAGCTATCCATATCTCTAAGAAGGGGAAATCTATCTACTACCTCCAAAGACAGTCCCTTCTGCTTTTGGACAGCTCCATTTCTTAGGACCCATCTTTGTAATTTCTTCATATAGCTCCTGGTTCCCTTCTCTAGGGCCAAACAGAAAAAATTAGTGCTTCCATATGGCTTCCATTCAAATACTTTAAGCCTGGTAATGTTTCCTTCTGCTGTCTTCACTAGGCTAAATATTCCTCATTCCTTCAACATATCCTTATATGACATGGATTCTTAGCCCTTCCCCATCCTGACTGCCCTCATGGACATTCTCCAGCTTGTCAATGTCCATCTTAAACTGTGGTGCGTAGAACTGAGCATAATATTCTAGATCGGAGTGGGGAACCTGTGGCCTCCACTAGGTCCTCAAGTGTGGCCCTGTGAATCCAAACTTCACAGGGCAAATTCTCTTAATAAAAGGATTTGTTCTGTAAAACTTGGATTCAGTCAAAAGGCCATACCCAAGGACCTAGAAGGCCACATGTGGCCTTGAAACTGCAGATTCCCCACCCCTGTTCCAGATGACCACTGACAAGGGCAGAGGACAATGGAATTATTGCTTCCCTATTTCTGAAGCCATGACCTCCTAATGCAAGATCAAAGATCAAATAGCTACCACACCCTACCCTGACAACCTTCAATCCCCATCATATGTACAACATCTTGTTCCCTCATCCTGGACTTGTGAAGTTGATTTTCTTGTACCCAAGTTCAATGCTACTTTTTTCCCTTCAGAATTTCATCTTCCTAGATTCAGCTCAGTTTTCCTGTCAGATCCTTTTGGATTCCGACTCTGACATCCAGTATGTTAGTAATCCCTCCCAACTTGGTTCCATTTGCACATTTGATGGGCATGCCCTCTGTGCCCTCATCCAAGTCATGGATAAAAATGTTAAGCAGTCCACGTGCTTGACGTACACCATTGAAGATGCCCTACTGATAATGAACCATTAACAATGGAACTTTGAAACCAACCAGCCAACTAGGTCTGAATCCAGCTGGTTCTGATGGTGTTATCCTTTCATCTATATTACTCCACAAGAATAGTTGAAGATGCTCCATTAAGAGCTTTGCAAAAAATCTGCGTAAGTCATACCCACAGCATCCTCTCAACTACTGGTCATTTAATGTCTTTGGTCTCCTCTCTATGCTCTTGAGCCTAATCTTTATCTCTTTATCCCTCCATCCAGTACCCAGCTCTCCTATTTTCTCTAGGTCTCTACTTAATTGGATGTCTTGAAACTTTCTGAAATATGGTTTATTTATGACACTCTATTGTTTTCTAAGCTAACAATCATTTCCGTTGCCAGGTAAATGTCATTTTATTGATATTGAGTAACTTTATCTCTGGATAACAGATTGTTTCCCAAGTCCAAAGTTGTCTGTCTTTCCTGTGTTCCCTAAGTTTTCAGCCTCAAGGTCTACATTTTTTTATCCTGAAACATGATGTGCATTTAACCATTCTTTTTAGTTTCTATTTTTAAGCCCCTAGTTAGGGTCCTACTTATTTATTTGAACCTGGATTCTTCTAAAAATCCATCTTAGCTAGTCTCCTAACCTCTCCCCAAAATTTCTGCTTGCTGCTTAAGTAATTTTCCATGCCTTGCTGTATTGCCCAACTCACTCCATTGCTGCTACTCTTTCCATTGACCTAGAAATTAAATATGAACTTCTGACTGGTCTGTTTTCAAAACTCATTACAATTTAAACTAGCCCTACTGATTTTCTTCTTCTATCAATTTAACTTCTTGACTTTATCCAAGGCATGTTCTGTATTTATGAAACACCCTTCCTTTTGAATGCCTATCACACCAACCATGTCCCTTCCCTTTTTTAAATAGTAAAGGCCTATGCCTCCTCTAGGAAGCTTTCCTCTGGTTTTGATCTTCCCATTTTCTAATCTAGCAGTTCACAAATTTTGGACCGTGGGCCAAAGCAACTTCTCTTCCAACACTCATTTTCATCATGGCATGTATGTATGTATGTGCGTGTGTGTGTGAATGTATGTATATATGTGTGTAATGTATGTGTGTGTGTGTATACACACACCTACATATATCCCTGTATTTTTCATATAGCCTATGTAAAAATGTATATCCAAATATAAATTTCATGTATATGATATATATGTATTTGAATAATGTAATACATAAACATAAAATGCATGTATATAATATGCATATATATATATATATATAAACAAATAAAATGTATTACGTACAGACAACCCAAAGAATATATACAACCATATTAATTTCTTCTTTCAAGAAGCGTATGTATGGGCATGATAAAATAAACAGCTAATCCTATGGATGATCTGTACCTAATACATTTTATCTGTATGTTATATGTGTATACACATACATACATATACACACACATACACATACATGTCATCCTATGGGTTGTCTGTACCTAATACATTATATCTGTACCTTATTTTGGTATTATACACACACACACACACACACACACACACACACACACACACACACACATATATACACACACTCACACCGTACATATGTATGTATATACATTTGGGTTGTTTGTACTTTGATATTTTTATCTGTACCTTATTTTGGTATTATATACACACATATATATACATATATACACACACTCACACTATACATATGTATGTATATACATTTCGGTTGTTTGTACTTTGATATTTTTATCTGTACCTTATTTTGGTATTATATATACATAGATACATAGATACACACACTCACACCATACATATGTATGTATATACATTTGGGTTGTTTGTACTTTGATATTTTTATCTGTACCTTATTTTGGTATTATATATACATAGATACATAGATACACATATACACACACTCACACTATACATATGTACGTATATACATTTGGGTTGTTTGTACTTTGATACATTTTATCTGTACATCATGCTATATAATGCGATAACTTACAGATGGAGGTCCTATTTATTAATTATATATTTTTTGAAAACCTCACTTCCCTCCACAAAAAAGCAGGAAAGTGGCTATGGTTTATTTTTTACTTTATAGCTATAGTGAAGTCATTGGTTATTAATACTTCAAAAAGCTCTTTTCAAGGTTATAACACCATGAGAGCATTGTTAGTAATATGCTGAACAATTTTTAAATGTTTGAGGAACTTGCCAATATAATGAGCAAAGACTCTTCTGATGACTTTGCCCCAGCCCTCATATTTGCACTTTACTTCAAGGGGATCCATGCATTCTTTCCCTTGTCTAGTGATGGAGGGTGGTTCTCTCCAGCTGTTAGCCAGGGAGGCTGATGAGGTGGGTTTTGCTTTTTTTTCTTTTTGTCTAGTGGACTTGTCCATCTCTGCTTTAATCCTCTGTCTTCCAGCTCAATGGAGATTCTCAGGCAAAAGTTCAGCGGATCTTGCGACTGATCTCTGGTGGCGGCTTGTCCATAACTGGGTCACACATCTTGTGTGGAGACTTCCTATTCAGCGGCCACACCGTTGTGCTGACTCTGACTTACCTGTTCATCAAAGAATGTAAGTCTATAGAGTTTTGCTACCTCCCCTTATTGATTCCCATGGGAGAAAAGATCACCAAGGCCTCAAACTGATTTGTGTATAGTGCCTTGGTCTTTTCCATTGGAAAGCTCTGAAAGTCACTCTACAAATCAACTCGGTTGTGTACCTATGGATTATCTTTGAAAAAAAAAAACAATTTCAATCTTGGATTGGCTTCCTTCTGTCACTAAGTGAGCTTCCAGGCTACCTCCTTCTCCTGAAAATCAACCCATTTCAGTGTTGGTCTCAGCGAAACATTGCTAGAAAGTCAGGTAACAGCAAAGAGAAAATCATAGTACATTCCAAGCCAAACAGCAGTGACCTTTGGGATTATTTGGACCACATACCTGCTCATCAATTCAGATAATTGAAAATTTATTTGGTTTAGTTTTAAAATTTATATTTGTCTTAGCATATCTGTTCTTGCTCTGTCTGTAGTTCATTAGATTTCCTCATAGAAAGTGCCTACTTGAGCATTTGAAAACGTGGGCAAGGCTTTTCTTCTGTAGAAGGATTACATTCCATTTTAGGCAGTAGGGACTAATGGGAGGAATGCTGGATTTGGAGTTGGAAGACCTGCACTCCAAACCCAGCCCTACTATGCACCGTTGTTGTGTGAGCTTATGAAAGCCACTTCTTAGTGTCTCATTTTCCTTATTGGTTCCCTGGGAGCCTTGGATTAAATGGCTTCTGAAGTCCTTTCCTTTGATCCTCCAGTGTGAAAAGTGACTATATCTAATCCAAGTAGCACTCAACTTTGGAGTATCTCCATCTTTGTGTCCTGAATAAATGCCCTAGTCTCCTGCTGTCATGTGGAAAAGTGATCAGCTTCATTCTGCTTGGCCCCATTAGGCAGAAGCAGAAGCAGCTGGGCTAAGTTGCCTGTTGGTAGGTGGGGGAGAAAGCCTACCAGCAACTAGAACTTCACAAATGGAACGGGCTGCCCAGGGCAAGGAGGTAGCGCCTTCCGCATCACTGGCGTTCTTAAGACTGGATATACTCCTGGTCAGCAATGCAATAAAGAGGGCATTCTTGCCTCTCTGAGGTCCCTTCTTATTTTCACACTTCAAGACATTACAAAAAGCAATCTCATCATCTTAATCTCATCTTAATCAGACTTAAAATTCTCATATTGAGGACCTACTGTGTGTGCTCCAGGCTCTGTACTAGATCCTAGAGCTTTAAAACAAAAAGAAAGAAAGAAAAAAGAACAGTTCCTACTCCAAGGAGTTGAAATGACTTGTTCAGAATCATTCAGCCATTATATGTCAAAGGCAGAATTTGAACCCGGGTCTTGATTCAGAGACTACCATGCTGCCTCTCTTCATTTTCATAGGATTACTATATTTCTAAGTACTGTGCTCCATTATCTATCATCTCCAAAAAGCTTTCTGAAGTAATGATGTTCGGTGTGCCCTTCCTCTATTTTTAGCTCCCTGTAAAAGCTAGTCAAAATGATCCTTCAGTTTTTAGTTTTGTGGTAACCCCCAAATAACTCAAGCCAATAATACTATTTAAAGCTCTGCTCAGACCTCTTTTTGCACATTATCAGGCATGCCCTTTAGCAGAGAGCTGGCCCCTACAGCAAGTCTACCTGGCCAATGCAGAGGCTATAGAACAATTAAGAATGTATATACCAACCACTGTGTAACTGTAAAATGCTCTGCAAATGTGATGGTTATTAAAAAAAAAATAGATCTTGTGAGGGCATGGGTTTTTTTTCACGATCCAAGAAGTGATTTTTTTTTTTGCCTTGTAGTTGCCTAAGACTTTGCAATTTAATGTTGTATTGGGAAAACTTACAGTGCGATACTTTATAATTCTCTGTGAAAGAACATAGTTCTCTAAATGCAATATTAGCTGCTGTGATGGATGAAAGATGAAATAACTGAGGAAACAAAGGTTCGATATTCCATGCATATTGATTTTTTAAGCAATGGGAATTACCCAACAAACTGGGACCAGACCACCTCAGCTTGGGCTGGACCCCAAATATAAAGGGAGATAGACTTTTATACATTAAAAACAATTAATTAAGGCCAATTATTTAAAAGGAAAAATAATATGTTAATAATCTGATTTCTAATTGGATGAAAGATTAAAAGTTGGAAGGGTAAAGGTGAACAGGTACAATTTCCCGAATTCAGAAAAAGAGGGGTACCATTTTCCCCAAGTATCTCTAAACAGTTTAAGGAACCTGTAAACAATAACTGACTGATTAGTGTGGGGTCAGTTTTCAAATAAGACATGGTTTGCTTGAGATGTACAATTGTAAGAAAACTCTTGGTGTCAATCTCTGGGTCTGACTGGGTGTCTGGTCAACTTAACCTACGTCCTTAGTCAACGGTCTCTATGTAGTAGGTGGAGGTGGTCCAGTTTCCCAGCCAAACAATTCCCAGATTCAAACAATACAATAAGGTTTTCTCCCCATTCCCCCAACTGCGTAAAGTTTTTTTCAAGACAGAATTTGGATTAGACCCATAATAGAATAGAAAAGGAACTGAGCTAGCTCCAGAATTGATTGAGTCACAAGATGGAGTCAGTGTGGTTCACTCAATTCCCACAGTTATCCACTTGTTGTCCTAATCCTCTTAGTTCTAGCACTGCTTTAAGACTGTCATTGAAGCCTAGTTCTTAATTCCTGGTCAGGGATTCTTAACCTGGAGTCTGTGAACCTTTTTTTTTTTTAATTTTGATCACTGTATTTCAATAGAATTTGTGTCCTTTGTAAGTTTACGTATTTTGTTTTATGTATTGAAAAACATGATTTTGAGAAGGATTCCGTAGCCTTCACCATAGGCTAGAGGATTCTATGATACATACAAAAGATAAAGAACCCTTAATTTAGAGTTTGGAGGCTTTTTTTTTTGCACTTAAATATTGTTATATTGGTAGAGTAACCAGTAACATAACCTATCTCTCTGAGTAGAGAAGTTTAGAGGACACCATGTTTAGATGGTCCTGTTTGAAAGGCTTTTAAGAGTTGGGTGAGTACTCTATTATGGAAGATTTATGGGACAGTGTGGACAAGAGTCTCCCAGGATACCATGGCATGAGTGGATTTAAGAGCTCTCCAGTGGGCCAAGAAAGCAGTAAAGTTACTGGCCCTGGTGAGGTCCCAGCTCTGTCAAAGTAGTCTACTAACTGGTATGGTGGTTTTACATTTAGCATTTAATTATAGGCCACAGGAGATGAGGATGTGTTGTGTGTGTGTGTGTGTGTGTGTGTGTCCACACCACAAGTACCAGTTTTAAGTTCTAAATCAAAATGTTGCTTTGAGGTTGTAGCATAATTTGTAGGTGTTCACATAGGACGAAATTATGGTTTGTGTGTTTTTGCCCCCACTCGTGGTGATAAGCATCACTTAAGGATCTACTCTGTATTTTGCAGAAATTCTTTAACTTTGTAATTAGCATCCTCTATATGAAAAGGTCAACTCAACAGTTAGGCCCATACACTATGCAAATATCACCTTCCAAGTTGGGCCGGATGCAGTATGGCTGCTGTGAATTAACAGTGGATCTGGGCTCTTTCAAAGGCATGCTTATGTCTATTTTTCGCTTCTTTTCATTTCTGTGGGCTCTCTCCTAGTTTGCTTTCTGGGAATTCCAGATTTTATTTATTTAGTTGTTACTTTGGGAACAGGCTTCCTCGGTAGCTAAGCAGGTACCTTCTTTGTAACCATAAAGCATTATATCAGCAAGAGCCAGTATTACCTTAAGGTGATAGACATTTTTGTAACGTTCATGCGTATCCCAAGTTTTTATACATACTCCTGTTGGATCCTCACCACAATCTAGTAGAATAATAGTCAGCACACAAGTATTTTCATCCCCATTTTATTGATGAAAAAACTGATTAAGAGGGACCTTTATAGATCATTTATTCTAATCTCCTTGATTTATAGATGAGGAACCTGAAAGGTTAACCAGTTCTCCCCAGGTCACATAGCTAGTAGGCAGCTAGGTTGCACAATGGGTGGATCACTAGGTCTGGAGTCAGGAAATTGTTGTTGTTAAGTTGTTTCAGCCTTGTCTAACTCTTTGTAACCCCATTTGGGGGTTTCTTGGCGAAGACATTAGAGTGGTTTGCCATTTCCTTCTAAGACCTGAGTTCAAATCCAGCCTCCGCAGTGACTCTGGGCAAGTGACTTAATCTCTGTCCACCTCAGTTTCTTCATTTGTACAATGAGAAAAATAATAGCACCAACCTCAAATGAGGTAATATTTGTAAAGCACTTTGTAAACCTTAAAGCACTCTACAAATGCAAGCTAGTAGTGATAGTGATGATGGTGCCAAAATTAGAGTCTAGGTCTCTTGACTCAGGCCAATGTCCATTATACCAGACTGCCTTTTGCAAACATAATCTGAAGACTCAGATCCATAAATAAATTAGACACACAAGTCAATGCAAAACATTGTACAGCATCCCAGCACTAATTCTGCCAGTGTACAGACCTCCTATATTCCATAGTCTATGATAAACCTCTACTCCCCAAGGAAAACTGGAATATAAATCCAAGCTCTGCTACAGACTGTGGCCTTGCGTAAATCAGTTGTCTTCCATTCCTCAGTGTTCCATTTAGGAAAATGGGGATTTGCTATTCATGGGAATGCAATGGTTAGGAAATCAAAACACACTTGGGAATAAAAATATCAAAAATAAATATAGTAAATTATAGTAAGAAACCTATTTGAAGGATCTGCTCTCAGATCTTATGTAGTAGCTTCCTATTGGAGATCATTGAGCATTGTGCCCAGCTAGTCACACATTCACCATTCTCCAGACTACAACAGCTGATGATCTAGGATTCCTTCCTCTCTGACTTGACCTTGACTCCTCGTTCGGCAAAGAGGATTGTCAGTAAGCCAAAACATCTCTAAATCTTCCATTCGCAAGTAGATGTGGCCTGCCTCGTACTTTGAGTTTGGGCTCTTTTAAGATCAGCAGTGAAGAAGCATCAAAGCATAATGGACAAAAGCCCTGAACTTAGGATCAGAGGACATGGGGGCTGGGTTCATGTCATGGCCCCAGCATTTATCAGCTCTGTGACCTTGAGTAAAGACTCCTAACCTCTCTGAGTCTCCATTTCTTTATCTTTAAATGGGAATAACATGTGTGCTACTCTTGGCAAATGGTAAACGTGGGTAGCCAGGTAGCATTTGAGTATAAAAGATAATTTGAAAGGAACAATTTAGTACCAGGATATGGGAGTTCAAGGTGAATTCCAGTTCTGCCTCTTTGGTTCACTCTGTGATAGGACCATGTGGTGCTGGCACAAAGAATTTCTCTGCTTATCCCTTTAGTTTCTTATAGCTGACATGTGCTAGTCTAGCACCCTCTTGTGGTCAGGGTGAGAAGTTAGTCAATGACTGGAGAGCAAGACTACTGTTAAGGTTTGGGGGGGATGGGGTAGCATGGCCTATGGAGGCTACATATTTGCTAGCACAGAGAGTTGATTAGGGGAAAATTATATGTGAAATTTTTTGTGTACTTAGTCATACAGGACAAACTGTTTTGCTCCAGATAATCATAACATCACATTCAACTCACACCTCTGCTTTCTCTGTATGTATTACTCTTTCTAACTACCCTAATAATGAGAAAGTTTTTAGGAGTTATAAATATCATTTTCCCATGTAGGAATGTAAAGAGTTTACACTTATTGAATCCCTTATGATTTCTCTTTCCTATTTACCATTTTGTACTTCTTTTGTATCTTGTATTTGAAAGTCAAATTTTCTATTCAGCTCTGGTCTTTTTATCAGGAAATGCTTGGAAGTCCTCTATTTCACTGAATATCCTTTTTTTTTTCCCCTGAAGGATTATACACAGTTTTGCTGGGGAGGTGATTCTTGGTTGTAATCCTAACTCTTTTGTCCTCGGGAATATCATGTTTCAGGCCCTCGAATCCTTTAATGTAGAAGCTGCTAAATCTTGGATTATCCTGACTATGGCTGCAGTGTTTTGTTTTGTTTTGTTTTTTCTGGCTGCTTGCAGTATTTTCTCCTTGATACAAGAGTCTGGAATTTGGCTGGGAGTTTTCATTTTGGCATCTCTTTTAAGAGGTGATTGGTAGATTCTTTTAATTTCTATTTTACCCTCTGGTTCTAAAATATCAGGACAATTTTCCTTGATAATTTCTTGAAAGATGATGTCTAGGCTCTTTTTTTGATTATGACTTTCAGGTAGTTCAATAATTCTTAAATTATCTCTCCTGGATCTATTTTCCAGGTCAGTTTTTCCAATAAGGTATTTCACATTTTCTTCTATATATATTTTTTTCATTCTTTTGGTTTTTTTTATTGTTTCTTTTATTTTCTTTCTTTTTTTAGTCAATTGGGGTTAAGTGACTTGCTCAGGGTCATACAGCTAGTTAAGTGTTAAGTGTTTGGTCTGAGGCTGAATTTGAACTGAGGTCCTCCTGACTTCAGGACCAGTGTTCTATCCACTGTACCACCTAGCTGCTCCCGTTTTATTGTTTCTTGATGTCTCATAAAATCATTAGCTTCTACTTAGTCAATTCTAATTTTTAAGGAATTATTTTCTTCATTTAGCTTTTATATCTCCTTTTCCATTTGGTCAATTCTGCTTTTTAAGGAGTTCTTCTCTTCAGTGAACTTTTGTATATCTTTTTCTATTTGGCCAATTCTACTTTTCAAGGCATTCTTCTCCTCATTGGATTTTTGTACCTATTTCATCATTTGGCCTAGTCTATTTTTAAGGTGTTATTTTCTTCAATATTTTTTGTGCCTATTTCACCTAGTCTATTTTTTAAGGTGTTATTTTCTTCAATATTTTTTGTACCTCCTTCTCATTTCTCTTCCCAATTTTTCCTCTACCTCTCTTACTTGATTTTTAAAATCTTTTTGGACTCTTCCACGGCCTGAGACCAAATCAGAATTTTGACTTTGTTGTCTTCTGAGCGTGTATTTTGATCTTTGTCACCATAGTAACTTAATACAGTCTATGGTTTTGTCTGTTGTTTTCTAATTATCTAGCCAATTTCTTGACTTTTAACTCTATGCTAAAGTAGGGCTCTGCTCCCCAAGGGGAAGGGGCACTGTCCCAAGTTGTGCAGCTGTTTTCAGAGGTAATTCTGGAGACCTGTAAGTTTTTGGCTCTTCCAAGTTGGTGTGATCTAGGGAGAGCTTCTCTCTTGAACTGTGCATGGGTTTGTGAGCAACCACAAGCACTCTTTTCAACCCTGAAACTCTGATCGGGGTCCCTGCTCCCCTGAGGGCTGCAAGCTCTAAGACTAAGACCCAGGACTGTGACCCAGATTCAAGTATGAGCAATGCAAGAGTCCTGCCCCAGTACCAACAAAGGGACCCCTGTAAATTTCCTTCTGACCTATTGTCTAATTCCCTTACCATCTGTGGGCTAAGAGGTCTGGAAATCGCTACTGTTGCCACTGATCCAGTCACCCCAAGGCCTGCTCCTGGTGTGCTGGGGCCTAGTCTGCTCTGGCACAGCCTGCACTGGACTACACTCCTCTCTTATCCTGATGCAACAGACCTTTTCTGCCAACCTTCTAAGTTGTCTTGGGCTAGAAAATGTTTCACTTTGTCTTTTTGTGGGTTCTGCTGCTCTAGAGTTTATTTAGAGTCACTATTTAAAGGAATTTGGAGGAGAGCTAGAAGAGTCCCTGTTGCCCTGCCATCTTGGCTCCACCTCAGGAGCTAATTGGTTTCCTTTTAATCCTTTTTATTTTATTTTGTGCACTTAAGAGCATGATTCTGAGAAAAGGGCAATAGGCTTCATCCAACTGACCGAGGATGGGTTTTTGATACAACAAAACTGAAAATGCCCAGATGTGGCTTCACATCTTCATTTTCCAAGTGGTAAAACCCACCAAGGTAGTGTCAGAGAAAGGACCCTAGGCAGCTGGCGTCTGCTGGCCTTCTGGGCCCAGGTCAAAGTTATGCCTTAGGGCATTGCAGTCATTTTAGATATTTTCAGCAGCTCATAACTGGCTTATCTCTGGAAGGAAGAATAATGTGCATCTTTCTGCTCCGCAGACTCACCCCGTCACTTCTGGTGGTATCATTTGATATGCTGGCTGCTGAGCGCTGCTGGAATCATCTGTATCCTTGTGGCCCATGAACACTATACTGTTGATGTGATCGTTGCTTATTATATCACAACAAGACTCTTCTGGTGGTACCATTCCATGGCTAATGAAAAGGTGAGAGTAACAAATACTTTAATGTAGGAGGGAAAAAAATGCAGGTTGATGTGAGAAATGAAATGATCTTCTAATTCCACGTGGTTTTACATCGCATAGCCTTAGAGAATGTGGCTCTGCCACTGATACACCATGTGGTTATGACGCAGCCACTTAACCTCTGCATCCATGACCCCTTCTTAAAATAAGGCATAATAAAGAACTTATGAGTATGGCTGACTTCATACTTCCAGGATCTATGATTTCATCAGTGTGGGTACTATACCTTCCACAGGTAGAGATTGAAATCCTTAGGAAATTTTCATTGTGGGCTTCTGCCCTCCCTCTAGACACCTCTTGGTGATCAAACTTCTTGTGATGAATTCCCCTAAACTTGGAGCAGCTAGGTGGTATAGTGGATAGAGTGCTGGAGTCAGAAAGATCTGAGTTCAAATCTGGCCTCAGATACTTCTTAGCTGTGTGACCCTGGGCAATTTAATTAATTTCTCTTTGCCTCAGTTTCCTCACCTCTAAAATGAGGGTGATAATAATAGCACTTATTTCCCAAGGCTGTGAGCATCAAATGAGATAACCGTAAAGTGCTTAGCACATTTGTCTGGCTGGTAAGCACTTAATAAATGTGCATTTCCTTGCTTCTTTCTATAAGTATTCACCTTCATAGGTTGTCTTTACATTATGGCTGTTCCTTCTGAACCTATGGATGTATTTGCTTACATATCTTTTTTTTTTTTTAGAGAACAAGGGGCCAAAGAAAAAATGTTTGTGTAGTAGGAACCACTTTTGATGTAATAGCAGTTGGGAATGAAAATATATTTTAATTTCAGATTCATTAAGCCAGTTGATCAGCCTGCATATTAACCAAGGTTACTTGCCCAGCTAGTAAGTGTCTGAGGCTAGATTTGAACTCAGGTCTTCCTGAATCCAAGCCTGGCAGTCTATCCACCAAATCACATTAGCTGTCCTAGTCTAGGAGGCCTAGAAAGGGAAATGGTTCTGTAAGGGCTGGTGTTGCCTGAGCTAATGTAGCATTGAAGCTAAACCTTGACATTTGGGTCAGATTATGATGGTTGGAGATGGGTGATGGGGGAATATTTGAACAGAGGTGCTGAGATGAGAAAATAAGATGTATTGAAGTGAGAATTACCAGACCAAGAAACATTTATGAAGCACCTACTATATGTAAGGGACTGTACTAGGTACAAATGATACAAAAAAATAGGGGAATCAGTGTGTCATCATCTAAAGACAGCTGCCTCAAGAATACCTGGGCTCCAGACCCTTCCCTATCCCATTCATGCCTATGTGGCTTGGAGTACCAAATCATTTCCTCTTGGTGCTCCAGGAAGCCTCTCTAAAATGACTAGACATTGTAGAAAAAAAGGCACTGACCCCCTTTGGAAGAAGGCATTGAGAGCTCCCAGGTCTGGTCCCCCCAAAATAAGGCATAGGCACAAGAATAAGAGATAGAGTTTACATTCTGATGAGGAGCTTAAATTCTAAATTAAAAGTTACTTCGCTGAGAGCTAAATGCTGTTTGTTTACTGTAGTGAAATTAAAATGTGATACTAATAAAAATAGCTGTTTCTGGAAAGTGAATATTGATTTTATAAGCTATTAATTATTTTCTATAAAAATTTTTTTCCCATTTCTGCTGTTTAATTAAGAGAGGTTTTTGTATTTCTTTTTCTATTCATTAGACTGGCTTTACTAATGGATGATTATAGTTTTGTCCATTGTATTTAGAGTTATTCATTCATTATTAAATCTCTCCATGTGTTTTCTTCTCTCCACATACAGAGCTTGAAGGTTTCATCACAGACTAATTTCTTATCTCGAGCATGGTGGTTCCCTATCTTTTATTTTTTTGAGAAAAACATACAAGGTGCAATTCCTTGCTGTTTCTCCTGGCCATTATCCTGGCCACCTGGCTGCTTCAAATCCTCCTGCAAAAAGTACTCACGAGTTCAGAAAACAGGAGAGGACAATGAAAAATCCACTTGAAAGGAAGAATCATGAGGAAAAAGGCATAGGCTCTAAGACCAAAACGTTTCATGCTATAACCAAAGGTAGAGTTTTGTTTTGTTTTGTTTTTTTAATAGGATTGACTGGTATGTGAAGAAGTGGACCAAATTTTGTGTAAATGATTTGAAAGATAAACAAAGTATTGTCCCGTGACATGGTGTTTATTTGTCTAGAAAAAAAAAAGACTTCTGCAGCTCTTTACCCATTGATGATGAGACCCAGGACTGTGACCAATGAGGTTGTAAAAGAGGTGCCAAAGAACATATCCCTTCCATCCCTGGTCCCATGCCATCCTTTGCCCTCCAACAATGCCCTTCCCCTCAGAACTCAGAGTACATTCCTAATCCTCCCCTCTCACCAAGCACAGCAGAATTTGGAGGTGTTTTAAACACATTATCAGGCTATATATATATATATATATAGCTACAGTATAAAGGGAATAGTAACCTAACGTTGGGAAGTAGGTGATAGCATTCTCAACGCTTGTCATTGGAGACTCAGTGAGGGTGACACCCATCCTTCAAGAGGGGCAAACTGCTGCTGTTTTCACTGCTTTTGGGGGGGTGGGGTGAAGGATAGCTTAGAACCCTGGAATGGTCACTGTTGCTACCATCCAATGAGTGACATACCCACTACTTTATACAATTTTTTTTTTTACTGATGACTTTATTTTTTAAAACAATGCTAGGCTAATGTGCTCAAACTGCAAACATGTCTGGCAACATCACAATGGTTTTACAAGTGTGTAAATACTGCATTTTTAAAGTGTATTTAATAGACATCAAGAAAACAATACTGGGATATCCATGACAGGACAATGAATTTTGCTTCTGTGTTCTGTCCACTAGGGTGTTTGAACTGTCCCTGTGCAGAAAAGGTAGATGTCATGGATTAAAAAAACACTTGTCAAGTCCTCTCCATAAGTTTACTTGTGTGTGGACTAGGTATAGACTCTAGGAATGACAAAAGATCTCTGGTCACACTGAATTATGAAGGATCCTTGATCTAAATATTTACCTCATCCTTTCTGAAAACCCAAGATAGATGCCTACAATTTTGATGTATTCTTGCCTTTTATCAAAAGACTCCACTAGCCAGAATATATATAGACAGATACTGCAGTGCTTTAGTCCTTACCCAGTGAGAATGGTTATTACTTGGTGCTGAACTATTCAGAACGAGCGTGTGACTGTTATATCTACACAGTGACTACGTGTTTGTTTATAGATTTATTTAATGAGGTAATACAAAAGAATGGATTTTTTCTTTTCAATCTTAGCAGACTGTATTATTTAACACTAGAGTATCTTTGGCTGATCTCTGAACTGATTTCCTCACATGTTTGAGGGCTATTTTTAAAAACTTCCAATAAAACCCAGCAAAAAGAAGTAACCAAATTTGCAGTAATACTAATTGTTAACACTGGGGGAAAGTAATACCAAGTAGGAAAGAAATATGTTTCCTCCCTATAATGACGATGGAAAAATACAATCAAATTTTCATCATTAGCAAGACCAGTCAGCCTTTATAGATATATGATAAGTAAACTTTGAATTACTTCAGTTTATCTCAACAAAGCACAAAGTGTCCCCCACTCTACAGCAGTTGCTGTCATCATCCTTGGTGCTAAAATTCTCTGAATGTCCTTAGTGTTACTGCCTCTCTGTAGTGGGAAATGCAGATTAATTCAAAGGGAACTAACTGTCCTCCAGTCAGCTCACTTTAAATAAGAATTATAACCTAAACATTCTTGGTAGGATTTTAGACACAAGGGTTTGGCCTCACATTCAAAATGAAGCGAACAGACAAAAACTCTGTAGCCTACATGGAGGCCGCATGGTGGCCACAACATTTTCATCACCATTTTTATTTATTGACAGATTTGTGAAGGGGACGTGGTAGACTGCTCAGAAATCCTTTCTCTCCCTAGGAACTAAAAATCACTGTGGCCCAAATAAAAGAAAAATAGACAATCCCAGAAGACTTGTAAATATTTTGCTGCTATCCAGACACTGGGAGATTGTTTTTCCTATTGGACCTCTAATGGAAGTGGAAAACATACTCTTTTTTTTTTTGGCAGTTGGGGTTAAGTTGAATTACCCTAGGTCACACAGCTAGTAACTGTGAAGTGTTTGGTCTGAGGCCTCATTTGAACTCAGGTCTTCCTGACTTCAGGGCTGGTGCTTTATCCACTGCACCACCGAGTGCCCCTGGAAAACATATTCTTATATGACACTTGGTCTTGATCATAGTTTGGACCCCCACTTTTTCCAGGTGACTTGTAATTACTAGGCTTAAACTAATTCAGTTTCCAGTTTTAAGAGTTAACATTGTCTAATAGGGGCCTTTGTAGCTCCTTTGAACAGATTTTACATTTGGGTCACACTCCTGATCGTATTTCGGACCCCCACTTTTTCCAGGTGACTTGTAATTACTAGGCTTAAACAAATTCAGTTTCCAGTTTTAAGAGTTGACATTGTCTAATAGGGGCCTTTGTAGCTCCTTTGAACAGATTTTTACATTTGGGTCAATCCTAAGTAAAAACATTGTAACGATAGTTAAAAACATGTTGCCATCCCCTTTTCAGGTCGGTCAAAGGATTTGTGCCCTCATCCTTGGGTATTCTGCTATTCAAAAGCTCTTTGTGTATATTGTAATTTAATAGATGAGGGAAAGGCATGTCTCAAACATTAAGCATATGGAATATTTAGGGAAGCAGTAGAAGAGAAATGGTGGGTGTTCTGCCCAAAGAAATCACAGCAAGGAAACCTTGGAATTTAGCCCCAGGTACCATCTTTGGAATTGAAAACGTGGGTTCACTGCCCTTACAATATTTGTCTGTATCACATCAGTTCTATTTATCAAAATCAACCAACCAATCAGTTGGAAGTAACTTAGAGAATAGAAGCCTGCTTCCAAATCCCACACGCAGTTCTGTATGGAACTTCTGGATTGGAATGTCGTATGGAAAATAGATGTTTCAGCCTGTAAAAATACCCTTCCCACTCTCTCTGAAAGCAGAACAAACCCGTGTTCCCTTCAATCTCACGCACTGGTATACTGAGTTCTACCAGCGGTGATCATAAAGTTGAGGAAAAGTTTATTGACCTCTCGGAAAATGAGTTTTGCAGTAAAACTGGATTATCTTGGGAATATTGAGACACAGAATGTTGGTCACGTGGTAGCTTTGGCGAAAGATACTTGGTGTATATTCCACTGCCCTCTGGTGGAGATACCACATACAACAAGATCTTCTAGTTTTTGATCTATTGTTTAAGAACCCCAATGAACCAAATGTTCTCTTTCCCCTCCAAAGACAGTCAAACCATCTTTCCAACCCTTTATTCATGTTTATTTTTTTCAAATGAACCTCTTTAATTGCTTCCATCATTGGCAGTGGCCCCAGAGAACAGAAAACAGGACTTATTCTGATGGCATGTTTAAATTGGTATAGAGAAAGAAAGGTTAAAATCCATTTTGAGTAGAATTTCTGCAAGAGAGATGTGCTCCTAGCATGCATGATCATTCACTTTGAAAACATTCAAACCATCTTTTAACTCAATTCCACTTTCAAAACATTCAAACCATCCTTAACTCAATGTCACCAAGCCTTATGATTGGCTTTGAAGCGGTAAAAGCCTCTGTTGGCTTTGAAATAGTCAAGGCAAGCTTACAGTCTTTCTCATCGTTTTTTTTTTCCTTTTCTTATCTCACAACTTAGTTTTTCAAATTGGAATATATTTGAAGAATTTTTTTATTTTGTTTTGTTTTGCACAGTTAGAAAAAGGTTACAGGTTCAAGCTGGTCTTACCATTTACTGCTATGGGTTTTTAAAGGAAGTGTGAAGAGTCTCTTGAAATTTGAAAAATACATGACCAAGTCAAGCATATTTTACAGAAGATGTTTTATTTTGGTGGCTTTGCTCTTTACGTGCCTGTGAAAGACATTTTCATGATATTTTATCAATGCCGTGTCAGTGCTATAACATCTTATTATTAGCCTCAAAGAGATGTTTTTGATATTGACATAAATACCGTCCCCCCACCCACCCAAGCAATGCAAATCAAGTCAGAGTTGTGTTTGGCACAAGTGCCTACTTTGATATTTTCCTGCTGCTTATTAGGACCTATTATACCCACTTAATGCTGTGTGTTCTAAATGAATCATGAATGGAAATAGGTCTTTATTGTATCTAATGAATTAAAACTGTGCTGTTTTCAGAAGGAAGGAAGAAACCATCCACATAAGCTAATCTAATTGCCAAGTTGGAATACTTTATTTAATTTACCTCCTATGCAATGAATAATGCTGCAAAACATATGGTTATGTTAAGTATACCCATAAAAAAGATTTTAAGAGGTAGCCAACTGTATTCTTTTGGAAACGTACTGTACTGTTTCAATGTGTTAAGTGCCTTGTAAAAGTACAATTTTAGGTCTATTCTAGAGTATGTTATTTTCCTGACAAATATTTTTCATTATAAAAAGGATAAATATATACTATATGCTATTATATAACTTATAGTTTTATTAAATGTGCTCACATTTTAATCAAAAATCATAATATAAATGTCAGACACTCATGTTTCCTACCCAAAAGTACCATAAGCATCAGTCTAATGAATGGAATTCATTTTCAAGGTTTTTTTAGGGAAAGGAAAAAATGCAAAAATAGTTCATTATCTTTAGAAGTGCATTTTTGTCATGACTGTGCTTTTTTTTTGTATAAACACATTTCAGTTGTAATTTAGGGGTGTAAATGCAGTATACACATACTCCTAAAATGCCAAAGTTTCACTTTTTTTTAAGTGCCTAATGGTGAGTTAAACTAATTTATGTTTCAGCACTACAGAGGACAGATAACATGCACACCATTTCTAATTCCTTTGGTTTTGCTTTTCATTTGTTTTATTTTTTAAATGAGACAGTATACTTTGTATTTACCCAATAAACTACAATGAGAGATGAATGATGTTTTCAAAATTAGTGTTGTGATTGTGTTTCTTTCTATATGAAGTGATTTGAAAGATGCTTGTTTAACTATTTGATTTTGCAAGTAACGACTTTGTCTTTTGAAGACATGCTATCGGAGATTTTGTTTAACCAAAAAAGAAAGAAAAATGGCATGAGAGAAGAGGGCAAGGGCTTATAGGATGTATCCTGAAATCAGTACTGAATCAGCCC